ACAGAAAGGCAAAAACCAACTGATGCTGCGCATGTCTACTATGAAAGAATGAAAGTAATCACTTTGTAGGGCGCCAACCTTAGTATAAATAGATTTTTGCCAAATTAGGGCAGAGAGCTCTTACATTTTTGGTAACTTTTCTCTTCTTTATTAAATTAGGACATTTTCCAGAGCTTAGGGCAACCTTGGGTGACAGCCAAGGGTCCAACCTAGGGTTTAGTTTCTCATTTCTCTTGCTTTTACATTAATGCCAATGAGTTTTCTGCATTTCCAAACTATGTTTTTGACCCCCATTTCTATGGAGGGCTAAATTTTGTGTAGTCCTTAGTGAGTTCACATGGATTCTTGAGTTCCTTGATTTTAATGATAATATAACTCCTTTCTTTTCATGAATTACTTCTTCCTTACCTCTTGAATTGAATTAATGGTGAATGAGGGGGACATTGCTTAAATAACCCTAATTCATTTAAGGAGATTCTAAACTAGGGATTGCTTAATCCTATGTTTAATTCTAAGGTTACGTAATCTTGGGATGAGGGATTAGAGCCTAACAAATTGCGTAATTTCGTTAGGACCACAAAGTTGATTTTCGCTTGTTAAATTAACCTAATTCATGGGAGAGAGGATGAGTGTTAAATCTTGAGTGGAATGAGGATAGAATCTATGTGGATGAACTAAGGATTGCTACTTTCTATTATTTGAATTAATTAAACTTGTTTGCTTGCTGCTCTTTATATTGATTTGAAACTACAAAACCCCCCATTTTAATTGCTTGTTCAATTAATGCCTTCAACATGTTTAATGAAGATTAATAGCCAATGTTCACGGGAGACAATCTAGGGTAACCCTATTACTACATTAATTTGTTTAAATTTTGATGAGGATTTATGACAAATCTTTTAAACACAACAAAAAACTGCTCATCAATGACCATTATGAGTGATTGGTTATGCCATTTGGCTTGACCAATGCCCCTGCTACATTTCAAAGTTTGGAAATGACATCTTTAAAGGAATTTTGAGAGATTTGTCCTAGTTTTTTTTTATGATATCTTGGTTTTCAGCTCTAATTGGACCGATCATTTGGCTTATTTGGAAGTAGTGCTGAAAACTTTAAAACAACATCAACTTTTTGCAAGATTCTCTAAATGTGTTTTTGGGGTAAGAGAAATTGATTACTTGGGTGATACACTTTCGGGAATTGGTGTGGCTATAGAAATAAACAAGTTGAAAGCTGTTCAAGATTGGCCTGTTCCTAATTCTCTTAAGCAATTACGAGGATTTCTTGGGTTGACAGGTTATTATAAGCAATTTGTCAAGGGATACGCTTCTATAGCAGCACCTCTAACAGATCTTCTTAAAAAAGACTAATTTAAATGGTATGATAGTGCCACTGTTGCTTTTCGGCAATTAAAAAAATCCATGACTTCTACCCCAAGTTTAGCTATTCCAAATTTTAAAGACACTTTTGTTTTGGAAACTGATGCTTCGAGAACTGGAATAGGGGCAGTGTTGAGCCAAGCACAACATCCAATTGCTTACTTTTCAAAAAAATTATCTCCTTAGATGCATAAACAATATGCTTATATTAGAGAATTTCATGCCATCACAAAAGCTTTGGCTAAGTTCCGACATTACTTGCTTGGCATAAGTTTATTATAAAGACTGATCAAAAGAGCTTGAAAGAGTTGCTGGAACAAAGGTTGCACACTCTTGGGCAACAACAATGACTTCCCAAATTTTTGGGCTATAATTTCACGATTCAATATAAGCCGAGCAGGGAGAACATACCTGTTGATGCTCTATCAAGAAGTTTGTTGTTGGCATGGTCTGAACCTACAGGGATTTGGATGCAACAAGTAGCTAAATCGTTGCACGAAGATGAGAATCTGGCTGCATTATATAAGCAACATTAAGAGGGTTTATTACGAGGAACTGATTATGTGGATAAAGAGGGATTGCCGTTTTGGAAGGGTAGAATGATAATTCCTTTCAACCAGGCACTTAAGCAACAAATTATGCAGGAATTTCATGCATCAAAAGTTGGTGGTCATAAAGGAGTAACTAAGTCAGTTTCCAGGATTTGTAAACAATTTTATTGGCCTAAAATGCAGCAAGATATAAGGGAGTATGTAAGGCATTATAGTATTTATCAATAGGCCAAGGTTAAGCAAGCATTGCCAACAGGTTTACTGTAGCCATTACCCATTCCACAAAGAATTTAAGAGGATATTGCTATGGATTTTATCACAAAATTGCCTCTTTCACAAGGTTATTCTACAATTTTCGTAGTGGTTGATAGATTGTCTAAGTTTACCCATTTTATTGCATTAAAAGCTACTTTCATTAGCAAGAGTGTTGCTGAGGCCTTCATTTCTCATGTGCTTAAGATTCATGGTTTTCTTAAAACTATTATTTCTGACAGAGACCGTGTTTTTATTAGTTCCTTTTGGCAACATTTGTTTAAAGCACAGGGTACAACTTTGGCAATGAGCTCTTCTTATCATCCTCAGTTGGATGGCCAAACTTAGGTGTTGAATAAGACTTTGGAGATGTATCTTAGGTGTTTTGTGTTTGATTACCCAAAAGCTTGGTACATGTTTCCTTGGGCTCAATTTTGGTATAATACCTTATTCCATCATAGCGTTGGCATGCCTTCTTTCAGGGCAGTTTTTGGTCATGATCCACCATCTGTGGTTCTTTATGAATGTCATGCCAAGGATCCAGTTTCAATTCAGTAGTCCTTGAATGCCAGAGATACCTTATTGTAGCAGTTGAAGGTGAATTTGCAAAGAGCTTAGAACTATATGAAGCAGAATGTAGATAAAAAGAGAAAGGACTATTAGTTGCAAGTTGGTGATCTTGTTTTAGTCAAGTTACAGCCATATAGGCAACACTCTATTGTCTTGAGGAAGAATCAGAAATTGGACATGAGATATTTTGGGCCTTTCGAAGTGTTGGAAAAGGTGGGAACAGTTGCGTATAAATTGAAGCTTCCAGAAACTGCTCAAATACATTCAGTTTTTCATGTCTCTTTGTTAAAGAAATTTATGGGAGAGAAACAACCATATTTACCATTACCACTTACAATGGGTGATAATGGTCCAATTGTACAACCTATAGCAATTTTGGATACTTGGGTTATCATTAAGGATTCGTTACAGGTGCCACAAGTTTTGATTTAATGGGAATTATCTAGTTCGACAGAAGCTACATGGGAAAATCGTGATTGGATTACTGGAACTTATCCACACTTCAACCTTGAGGACAAGGTTGTTTTGAAAGGGAAGGGTAATGTAACATATAAGGAGGGAGGTGAGAAATTGGCGCCAAAGATCGTTATGGGAAAAGGGCACGTGGCAGCAGATGCGAAAAGTGTGGAAGTCAGGCGTAGCATGCGAAAGATGAAGCGTAACACACTTTATAAGGATTTCATGATGAAGAATTGAGGGATGCTTATGGAATTGGTATCTTCTCTCTGGTCATTTCTTATTCTCTCTCCCTAATAATTTTCTACTATTCCTTCTTGCTGTTTTGTCTCAATTTATGTTCCTTGTTCGATATTGTTTCAGATTCTGAGGTTTATAAATGCCATACACATGTTGCTTGGATAAGTAGATCATGTACAAAAAGAATAAAATTGATATGCTAAAATATTTCATAATTTTCATGACAACAACATTCCAAATGACTATATTTAGTAAGTTTTTAAAATTTATTGAATTTTTTATTTCTTACCCCTGAAACCTTGTTCATCTATACATTGTTCTGCCTCAAATATTCATTACTGACAAATTTATTTCATTACATTATTTTGCATATTTGATTGCTAATGTATAAATTCAAAGTCAACTTTCCACTTCTCTATCTCATTGTGTTTTGTAATTTTTTTCAACTCATAATGTTCATTATTAACATTGAACTTTGTGTTTTACTTTAAGATAATATATTTTGTTGATGTTTCGTATTCCACTGTCTATCTGTATAAATAAATATATCTATATCAGCTATTTGACTTGTGAATGTGAATTTTTTTTTAGGAAACTAACTTTAAGGACTGGAAGCAAATGGTGCAAGAAATCATCCGTCAAGTTGTTCAGGGCTTTAGTTTCAGGCCCATGCGTTATTGTGCTACATTTGATACTCACTGAGCTTCTCTTTTTTACGTTGCTCAATTTCATGCAAAGAGGGTTTTATAATTTCAAGATGCACTATTGGCAAGTTATTATCCAAATGAGGTTAATACTGATTCATGTTGCCACAGTGGCCCTTAAATTTGGTTAAATAATTACTTTAGTAGCTGAAAGGGACTGAAGCTTTTGCATTTTTATATTGTCTCACTTTTAGGTCAAATTTGTTGAGCTTACTTTGGACATCTATAGAATGATACATTATTTAGAATAGGAAGTGGAATATTCTACCAAAACTATACAGTAAAACTAAAGGAGAATGGTGACTCAATTAATCATTCAGGAGCTTCTAAGATAATAGACATGAATCTTACTGCAGATATAATGTTTATACCACTAATCCTAAAAGGTTATCTTGTACTATAATTTGTGACATGTGGAAGCAGTAAGTTTTCAAGCATATTGAAAAGTTTGTTAATAAAATTTATAGGTTGTTCTAGTAACCAGACTAACATCAAATAATATTGCATGGGGATTAGTTGAGGATAATAATTTTTTATTTGTAATCACTTGATATTTACAGAGCAATTATTCTTCAATGTGAGTTAAAGGTTATAATATCACTATTATAAATATTAAATTATACTCATGTATTTGGAAATATAAAATAATAAAATCCTCCTATTATTATTATTCTCTTGTTTTCCTCTAACAAAGTGGTATCAGAGCTCGGTTCAATCTTGAGAGTTAAGATAAACGCCTTGAGAGTTGAGTGAAACACTTTGAGAGTTGAGAGATGGCAAATAATGGCTTAAATATGTTTTAAATTTCACGTCTCACTAGATAAAATTATGATAATTGGTGTCGATGCATGAAAGCCTTACTAGGGTCTCAAGATGCTTGGGAGATTGTAGAGAAATGTTATAATAAGCCTCAAAATAAGGCTATTTTGTCACAAAATGGGAAAGATACTTTGACAAAGCAAAACAAGAAGGATCAACAAGCACTTGCATTTATCCATCAAGGTTTAGATGAAACCATGTTTGAGGTAGTGTCTAATGCAACCACCTCCAAAGAAGCTTGGAAGATTTTAAAAATGAACCTTGAAGGGCTTGACAAGGTAAAAAAGGTGCGTTTACAAATTCTATGAGGAGAGTTTGAATTCTTGCGTATGAAGGAATTTGAGCCTATTTCAAATTTTGGTAATAAAGTAATGGTTGTTGTAAGCCAAATGAAGCGATGTGGAGAAAAGGTGGAGGATGTTCACATAGTAGAAAAAACACTTTGCTTTTTAACCACAAAGTTTGATTATGTGGTTTGTGCTATTGAAAGGTCAAAAGATTTAGACTCAATATTTGTTGACCAGTTGATGGGTTCGCTTCAAGCCTATGAAGAGAGATTTAATCGAAGACAAGAGGAGCCTTTGAAGCAAGTCCTTAAAACCAAAGTCTCTTTAAAAGAAAGTGGAGGAGAAAAAAATCAACGAGTACATGGTCGTGACCAAGGAAAAGAAGGAAGAAGAGATTGTGATAATTTTAACAATAGAGATGATTATCAACCTACTAGAGGTCGTGAAAGAGGAAGAGGCAGAGGCAATTTTGGTAGGCCAAATAAAAGAATGTATGATAAATCTAATGTTGAATGCTTCAATTGCCACAAATATAGTCATTACTCTTGGGAGTGTGGAACAAATGTTGAGGAGAAGGCCAACCTTATTGGAGAGAAAGAAAAAGATGAAAAGTCAACATTGTTGCTAGCACTTAACAATGAAGAGAAGAGTGATAAATGCTTATGGTATCTTGACAATGGAGCAAGTAATCACGTGTGGTTATAGGAAAAAGTTTGTGGAGATTGAAGAGAAGGTGAAAGGGAATGCTTTCTTCGAAGCAAGGTGCAAATCCAGGAAAAAGGTATCATTTTAATTTCTTTAAAAAATGGTACTTATAAACTGATCATCGATGTTTATTACGTTCCTAAACTAAAACGTAATATTTTAAGTATGGGACAACTTGTTGAAATGAGATATGAAATCCTTATGAAAGATTGTTATTTGTCTTAGAGATCAAAATTCTAACTTGATTGCCAAGTGTTTTTATTTTAAACATTGAGACCATTGAAGCTAAATGTTTGAAGACTAGCATGAAAAATGAATCATGATATTGGCATAAGAGATTTAGAAACTTAAACTTTGGTGCACTCAAGGCTATAGGAGATGAGAAGATGGTGAGATGGATGCTTTCCATTAACCATCCCAATCAATTGTGTGAAGCATGTCAGCAAGCATGCAAGGAGGAGTTTTCCAAAAGAAGCTGAATCAAGAGCAAAAGAGCCGCTCCAACTTGTTCACACCAATGTATGTAGTCCAATTGATCCTGCCTCATTTGGTAAAAATAAATATTTTTTGCTCTTTATTGATGATTTTAGTAGGAAGACTTGAGTTTTTTTTCTTTTTCTAAAGCATTTGTAGCTTTTAAAAATTTTAAAGCACTTGTAGAAAAAGAGAGTGGTTATGTAATCAAAGCTCTACGATTTAATAGAGGTCGCAAATTCACATAAAAGGAATTTAATGAATTTGTGAAAAACATGAAATTCGTCACCTTCTAACGGTTTTTAGAACTCCCTAGGTAGCAGAGAGAAAAAATAAAATTGTTTTGAATATGGTAAAATATATGTTAAAAGCTAAAAATATGCCTAAGGAATTTTGGGCCAAAGCTGTTACTTCTACAGTTTATTTATCTGACCGCTCTCCTACAAGAAATGTTAAAGATCAAATACCACAAGAAGCATGGAGTGGAGTGAAGCCAAAAGTTGACCATATTAGAGTCTTTGGGAGCATTGCATATGCTCATGTAAGGAAGATCAAAGCTAGATGATCATAATATAAAGTATGTGTTCATTGGCTATGATGCAAATTCAAAAAGCTACAAGCTGTACAACCCAAGTACTAGCAAAATAATAGTGAGTCGAAACATTGAATTTGATGAAGAAGAAGCTTGAAACTGGGAGAAGGAAGAAGACAACACTTATGATTTTTTTTTCCATACTTTGAAGAAGGAGATCAAGAAAGAGGCCAACCACCGAATGAGTTTTCTACTCCACCTCTTTCACCAACTCATGAAATCTCATCATCTTCTGAAGAGAGTTTCAGTGAAAGGCCAAGAAAAATGAAAAGTCTCCAAGAAATATATGATAAAACTGAAATGATAAATGATTTGTTTTGTTTATTTGTTAACAGTGAACCTATGAATTTTGATGAAGCTATGAAGAACCAAAGGTGGAGAAAAGCCATAGAGGAAGAAATTAAAACCATTGAAAAAATGACACTTAGAAACTATTAAATCTTCCCAAGAATCATGAAGCAATTGGAGTAAAATGGGTGTTAATGTTAATGGAGAGCTAGAAAGATACAAAGCAAGGCTCATTGCTAAAGGCTATAGACAACAACATGGAGTTGATTATGATGAAGTGTTTGCATCGGTTTGCTCGCATGGAGACAATTCTTCTTCTTATTTTCTTGGCAGCTCAAATGAAATGAAAAATTTTTCAACTTGATGTCAAATCAGATTTTTTGAATGGTTATCTCGAAGAAAATGTCTATGATGAACAACCAATGGGCTTTATAGTCAAGGGACAAAAATAAACGGTCTTGAAGCTGAAGAAGGCGTTGTATGAATTAAAGCAAGTATCGAGGGCATACAATAGTCGCATTGATAAATACTTTCAAGACAATGGATTTCTCCGTTGTCAACATAAGTATGCCCTTTATGTTAAAGCTTTTGATAATTGTGATGTTTTGTTTGTTTTCCTTTATGTGAATAATCTTATCTTTACTGGCAATAATCCATTTTTATTTGAAGATATCAAGAAAGTTATGTCTTATAAATTTTAGATAACAGATATGGGACTTATGTCCTATTACCTGGAATTGGAATTAGAGGTAAAGCAAATGAAGAATGGTATTTTTGTCTCACAAGAGAGGTATACAAAGGAAATTTTGAAAAAAGTTTAAGATGTTTGATTGCATTCCTGTGAGCACACCCATGGAAGGTGGATTAAAATTGTCAAAGTTTGATGATGGAGAGAAGATAGACCTCACGGTCTTCAAGAGCCTAGTGGGAAGCTTGATGTACTTAACAAGTACAAGGCCTGATATTTTGTATGCAATTGGAGTTGTGAGTTGTTTCATGGAAGCTCCCACCTCTACTCACTTAAAAGTTGCAAAGAGAATTCTTTACTATTAGAGAGGTACAATTAATTTTGGATTATTTTATTCTCTTTGTAATGACTTCAAGCTTGTAGATTCTGTGATAGTGAGGGTGATGTTGATGATAGAAAGAGCATTACTGGATTTGTGTTGTTCATTGGTTATTGTGCTTTTTCTTGAAATTCTAAAAAATAACATATTGTCATACTTTCTACTTGTAAGGCTGAATATGTCGCTACAACCTCTTGCACCTGTCATGCTATTTGACTTAGAAGATTGTTGAAGGAAATTTGTTTGAATTAGAAGAAGAGTACTAAAATTCACATTGATAATAAATCTGCACAAGAGCTTGCCAAGATTTCTGTGTTTCATGAGCGAAGTAAGCATATAGATACGAGATATCATTTCATTAGAGAATGCATTGCTAAGAAAGAAGTGAAGCTGATTTTTTGGACGACTTAAGATTAAGTTGTGGATATTTTTACCAAATCACTCAAATTTGAAGATTTAAGAAGATTGAAAAAAAGATTTGGAGTTTGTTCTATGTCAAATTTCTATTCAGATTGTTCCTGGAATTGTTACAAAAATATAATATTTGATTAGGCCTTTTTAGTGTTAGTTTTAATTAAATTTTATAGAAGAAACAAGTACTTTGTTGTAGGTGCACTTACATATGCTTCATTTGATTTATGAGGTTCAAGTAAAATCTATCCTGGCGATCTTATCCCCTTCACCCGGAAACCACTTTTCTTGAGTATTATTGACAGTGATAAGTAACAGCCATGCATTCAAGGCAGGTTTGTCAAAACTTGTGAATGATTTGCCTAAAAACTTTGTTAAGTAGAGCTGTTCTGTATATTCCTTAAATTTTATTTTACTTTTTAATGGCACGGTGACATTTGTAATTAGTTTATTTAGTCTAATCTGGTGATAACATTTCAAAATGAATTTTAACTCACAAACTATGGGAAACCCCGCCTCGTTGAATTTCTTCAACAATTGAACCTGAAAGCAGAATTTGATCCGAGGACAGAGTTGAAGGCGGAAAGAAAAAGCCATAAATTGTCAAATGGTGTTGTCAACAATCCAAGTGTAGTTACAAAAACAATGATAAACACGGCATCTTTCTGGGTTACAATGATTCTGTGATAGATTTTTGTGTAAGGCAATCATTATAGAATTTTTGCTTGTTAGCTTGTCCATGTTGGATGTATATTGGAACTGATAGGAATTAAAATATTCTGTCTTTTTTAGGCTTGTTGATTGATTGACCCATGTTATTTACATTCACATGCCTTGATTGATTGTTTGCGTAATAAATTATTGCAGGTTAATGGTGCTGAAAGGGGAGAACCAGCAGCTCTATTTCTTTCACCTTTAGGACCGATTTCAAGAATCCATCTGATGTAAATTCAAGTAATGGAAGCCAATTTACTTTTTTACTGACTGCTCCTTTGTCAGCATTTTGTCAAATGATTGGTCTCTTCCCCAATGAGGCTGATACAGTAAGTGGACGTGAAATAAAAAAATTATAAATTTCTTTTCTTTAAAGTATACAATATATTAGCTATTTTATTTATTTAACAATTAAGAAATTTATAGAGATAAAAAGTTAGAGGATCAAGAATGCGAGATATAAAAGTTATTTTATAATTAATGCATACACTTTAATTTGTAAAGCATGTAAGAAGATTAATTCTTAATGGAAAGGTGTATGTATTTATTATTTAAAAATATAAATATTTTAAATGCCTTTAATTAAATTTTTTTTATAAAACTAAAACGCAGGAGAATATAAAATGTTAATTTAGAATTAAATGCATATACTTTTTAGTCAATACTTACTTTATAAAATATGTAAAAAATTATCAAGAGAAGACAGAGATTCTTTGAAATTATTCTTTCATATTAATTTTGATCGGTGATTATTTTTTCAATTTACTTATTTTGAAAACTAATAAAATAATTAATACTTGAATTTCTTCATTTAAATATAAAATATAATCACATGATTATAAAAAGTAATTATTATTAAATTAGTATAATATCTGTCAAATTATATTTATTTTACTTTTGAAATATTAAAATGTTTTTTTAAGATATTATTTATTTATTTATTTTTACATATTTCATTTACTTTGCGATGAGGGATTTAATGTAAATAATTTTATAAATATATTGACTTCAAAACTTTTCTTATATATTTTATATATATTCTTTAAAATATAAATCATCTTTTGTTATTCAACAAGCTTGATTCATGTAATCCATAAAAAATGAATATAGTGTTAGAAAAAGAAATTCAAAAATCATAAAAAAGTTAAAAAGTAAAAAATGAAGATATTATTCTTAAAGTACCTTAACATATGTATGCAAATAAAGATAAGATTAGTTGAATAAAATATAAGTCAAATAAAAAGTACCTCCACTCTATAGGTAAGTATAATTTCTGAGTTAGTTTCTTTCACAAGAGAAAGGTAGTCGTTCTCTTTGTTGGAATCAATAACTCTCTCTAGACTGTCCAACCATGCTCCGTTGAAACCGAAGAATCGTAGATCAGATACATACTCCTTCACTGTAGTGAAGTGATAATCAATTACAGTGATTAACGTCATTTTTTTGAGATAGCG